GCTATATTTATATTATATAAAACAGACCTTAAATCAAAAACAGTATAAAGAGACAAGGAAGGGCATTATATAAGGATAAAGGGATCAATTCAGCAAGATGACACAACAATCCTAAATATATATATACACCCAACATCAGAGCACCTAGATTCACTAAACAAATATTACTGGACCTGTAAAGAGATAAACAGCAACATGATCAAAGTGGGGGACTTTAAGACCCCCCTCAAAAAAGTACACAGTTCAGCAAAACAGAAAATCAACAAAGAAACATTAGATAAATTTGACTTTAGATAAAATGGACTTAACAGGACATTTTACCTAAAAACTACAGAACATATATTCTTTTCTTCAGCATATGGAACATTCTTCAAGATAGACTAGATGTTAGGCCACAAAACAAGTCTTAACAAACTTTTAAAAATCAAAATTATGTCAATATTTTTTTCAGACCACAGTGAAATAATGCTAAAAATCAATATAAAGGGGAACTTCAGAAACTGTATAAATATGTGGAAATTAAGCAACATCTCCTGAATAATCACTGGGTTAACAAAGAAAATAAGACAGAAATTTAAATTTTTTAAAAAATGAATGAAAATGGAAGCACAACATAAAAACTTGTGGGATAAAGAGAAAGCACTGTCAGGCCAGGCTTAGTGGCTCACACCTGTAATCCTAGCACTCTGGGAGGCCAAGGTGGGCAGATCATTTGAGCTCAGGAGTTCAAGACTAGCCTGAGCAAGAGTGAGACCCTGTCTCTACTAAAAATAGAAAGAAATTAGTCAGACAACTAGAAATATATAGAAAAAATTAGCTGGGCATGGTAGCGCATGTTTGTAGTCCCAGCTACTTGGGAAGCTGAGGCAGGAGAATTGCTTGAGCCCAGGAGTTTAAGGCTGCTGTGAGCTAGGCTGATGCCACAGCACTCTAGCCCAGGCAACAGTACAAGACTCTGTCTCTAAATAAATAAATAAATAAATAAATAGCAGTGCCAAGAAGGAAATTTATAGCATTAAATGCCAACATCATAAAAGTAGAAAGATCACAAATTAACAACCTACCATCACACCTTGAGGAACTAGAAAAATAAGAACAAACCAAACCCAAAGTTAGCATAAAAAAGGAATAACAAAGATTAGAGCAGAATTAAATGAAATAGAGACCAACAGACAACACAAAGGATCAATGAAATTAAAAGTTGGTTCTTTGAAAAGAGAAAATTGATAAGCCACTAGCTAGACTAACCAAGAAAAGAAGAGATAAGATCCAAATAAACAAAATTAGAAATGAAAAAGGAGACACTGCAAATGATAATACAGAAATACAAAAGCTCCTCACAGACTCTTATGAACAACTATATGCTCACAATCTAGAAAGCCTAGAAGAAATGGATAAATTCCTGGAAATATACAAGCTCCTGAGATTGAATCAGGAAGAAATTGAATTCCTGGACAGACCATTAGCAACTAGGGAAATTGAATCAGTTATAAAAACAATATTCCAACAACAAAAAAACCCACTGCTGGGTGTGATGGCTCACACCTGTAATCCCACCACTCTGGGAAGCCAGGAGTTCAAGACCAACTTGGGCAACATAGAGAGCCCTCCATCTCTACAAAAAGAAAAAAGAAAAAAAACTAGCCAGGCATTGTGGTGCACACCTGTGGTCCCAGCTACTTAGGAGGCTGAGATGGGAGGATCACTAGAGCCTAGGAGTCTGAGACTGCAGTGAGTTATGATTACACCAGTGTATTCCAGCCTGGATAACAGAGCAAAACTCCATTTCTAAGAAGAAAAAAAAAGGAAAAATCAAAAAGCCCAGGACCAGATGGATTCACAGCCAAATTATACCAAACATACAAAGAAGAACTAAAACCAATCCTCCTATAACTTTTCCCAAAAAAATCAAGGAAGAATTCTCCCTAGCTTAGTCTATGAGGCCAGTAACACCTTGATACCAAAGCAGACAAGGACACAACAAAAAGAGAAAACTACAGACTGATATCCCTAATGAATATAGATGCAAAAATCCTCAACAAAATAATAGCAAATCAAATCTAACAGCACATCAAAAGCATGATGCACCATGATCAAGTGGAATTTATACCAGGGATGTAACGATGGTTCAACGTATGCAAATCAATAAATGTTGAAAAGGGCATTTGATAAAATTCAGGATCACTTCATGATAAAAATCCTCCACAAACTAGGCATAGAAGGAACATACTTCAAAACATTTAAGGCCATAAAAGACAAACCCACAGCCAACATCATGGTGTGAGGGACGGTGTGAGGGACAGTGAACTGGCCCCGTTTAAAAAGTTTGAGGACCCCTGGGCTATAGTAACCAAAACAGCATGGTACTGATATAAAAATAGGCACATAGATTAATGGAATAGAATAGAGAACCCAGATATAAATCTTCACACTTACAGCCAACTCATCTTTGACAATGTTGAAAAGAATATATACTGGGGAAATTACACTCCTTTCAATAAATGATGGTGGGAAAATTGGATTGCCATATGCAGAAAAATGAAACTGGACTCCTATTTCTCACCATATACAAAAATCAGCTCAAGGTGGATTAAAGACTTGAACATAAGACCTGAAACTAAAAATACTAGAAGAAAATCTAAGGAAAACTCTTCTGGACATATTTTAGGCAAAGAATTCATGACTAAGACTTCAAAAGCACAGGTAACAAAATAAAAAATAGACAAATGGGACTTAAACTACAAAGCTTCTGCACGTAAAAAAAAAATAATCAACAGAGGGAACAGATAGCCTGTATAATGGAATAAAATATTTGCAAACTGTACTTCTGATAGGGGACTAATATTCAGAATTTACAAGGGACTCAAACAACAACAAAACTGGTCAGGCACAATGGCTCATGCCTGTAATTCCAGCAGTTCAGGAGGTCAAGGCAGGACAATTGCTTGAGACCAGGAATTTGAGACCAGTCTGGGCAACATGTGAGAGCCTGTCTCTATGTCAAAAAAGGTTAAAAAAAAAAATCAACAAACAAACACCTTAGCTGACTGTGGTGGCACATGCCTGTAGCCTCAAGTCCTTGGGAGGCAGAGGTGGGAGGATTGTGCTTAATCCCAGGAGTTTGAGGTTTCAGGTGAACTATGATTATGCCACTGCACTCCAGCCTGGGCAAAACAGCAAGACCCTCATCTCTAAAATAATAATAATATACAATCAAGGTGTCAGCTGGAAAAAATAAAAGGAAAAAGAATTAAAATAATTAAAAAATAAATAAAATAAATAAATAAATAAATAAAATAATAATAATAATAATAACCACAAGTAAAAAGTGGGCTAAGGACATCAATAGACATTTTTCAAAAGAAGATAAACAAGTGGCCAAAAAGCATATGAAACAATGTTCATCATCACTCATCATCAGAGAAATGCAAATTTAAACTACAATGAGATATCATCTTATACCAATTAGAATGGCTATAATTAAAAGTCTCATACTCTACCGACTGACCTGGCCAGCAGCAGAATGGCTACAATTAAAAAGACAGGCCGGGCGCGGTGGCTCACGCCTGTAATCCTAGCACTCTGGGAGGCCGAGGCAGGCGGATTGCTCAAGGTCAGGAGTTCAAAACCAGCCTGAGCAAGAGCAAGATCCTGTTTCTACAAAAAATATAAAAATCAGCTGGGCATGGCGGCTTGTGCCTGTAGTCCCAGCTACTTGGGAGGCTGAGGCAGGAGGATCACTTGAGCCCAGGAGTTTGAGGTTGCTGTGAGCTAGGCTGACGCCACGGCACTCACTCTAGCCTAGGCAAGAAAGCGAGACTCTGTCTCAAAAAAAAGACAAAAAATAACAGACTTTGGCAAGGATGCCAAGAAAAGGGAACTCTTATACACTGTTGTTGAGATTGTAAATTAGTTCAACCTATATAGAAAACAGTGTGCAGATTTCTCAAAGAATTAAAAATAGAACTACCATGTGATTCAGCAATCCCACTACTGGATAACTACACATAGAAAAAGAAAACAATACATGAAAAAAAATACCTGCACTTGTGTTTGTTTACTGCGGCACTATTCACATTACCAAAGATATGGAATCAACCTAAGTATCCATCAGCAGGATTGGATAAAGAAAATGTGGCATATATATAATGGAATACTATTCAGTCATAAAAAAGAATGAAATCATATGTTTTGCAACAACATAGATGGAACTGGAGGCCATTACCTTAAGTTAAACAACTCAGACACAGAATGACAAATATACATGTTCTCACTTGTAAGTGGGAGCTAAATAATGTAGATAACACGGAAGCAGAGTGTGGAACATGGCTAATGGAGAGTCACAGGGGCAGTGAGAGTGAGAAGGCAATGGATGATGGGAGGTGGCTTGGTGGGGTACAATGTGCATTACTCCAGTGACAGATGCACTGAAGGCTCTGACTTCACCACAATGCAATATATAAATGCACCAGAATTGCACTTGTATTAATACCTCATGATTAGTGACAAATAAATTTTAAAAAAAGGTTTGTCCATGTTGTGTATATAAATACATTCCTTCTTATGGAAAAATAATATTCCATTGTAAGGACCTCTCACATTCTTTATACATTCACCTATGGATGGGATATTTGGTAATTCCTGCCAAGGGATTTATGAATAAAGCTACTATGAATACTTTTGTATAAGCCATTGTGTGGACATATGTTTTCATTTTTCTTGGGTACATACATATGAGTGATGTAGCAGGGTCAACTGTTAATTCTGTATAGAATACTTTGAGAAACAGCCAGCTTTCCAAAGCAGCCATGCCATTTTCTTCTCCCACCAACCATTTATGAGGGATCCAGTTTCTTCACATCCTCACCTAACACATCTTTTTCATTATAGCAATCATAGTGGGTATGAAGTGGTATCTCATTGTGCTTTTCATTTTCATTTCTCTAAAGGATAATTACATTGACCATCTTTTCCTGTGTTTATTGCCCACTTTTATATCTTCTTTGTTGAAATGTCTATTGAGTTCCTTTCCTTATTTTTACTTGGGCTATATGGGTTGTCTTTTTATCGAATTGCAAATGTTCTTTGTATGCTTCAGATACCAGTTCTTTATCCAATATATGCTTTGCAAATATTTTCTTCCATTCTGTGGCTTATGTTTTCACTTTCTGGATGGTACCATTTGCACAAAAGTTTACAATTCTGATGTAATCCAGATTTATTCTTTCTTTCGTTGCTTACGCGGTTGGTGTTATATGTAAAAAACCATTTCTTAATCCAAGGTCAAATATTTGTTCCTATGTCTTCTTCTAAAAGTTCCATAGATTTTAACTCTTACATTGAGACTTATGATCAGTGAGCATTGTGATTTAATATTTTTCCAATAAAGATCTTTTTAAACAACTTTAACATGAATTGAAGTAAAAAACGAGCAAATTATCTTGAGAATTTGGACCAAAATAAATCCTTTCAAAATCAAAATCAATCTCTGTCATTAAGATGTTACTCATCACATTTGGGTTTTAGTGTATTTTTCTACATACACAATCCCCCTTAAACCCCATAGTTAGGAAGTTTTTACATATGAAATGTTACATATGAAGACTGTGAGACCCAGAGAGAGATGGAAAGGCTTGGTCTTCCCTGATAATAAGGCTCAGAGGGCCAAGTAACATGCAGCTGCTGCCACAGGCAGAAACTTGGACACTAAGTCAGAGCCAGAGCTCTGCCATTTGTAAGAGGCTACTAATACATTTATTTGTTAGCTAAAAGTTACCTGGAACTCAGTGTCCTCCTCCATAACATGGTAACAGGAATACAGCCCTTCAATGACGAAATGATATATGCAAAGCTTTTGGGCCATAACAGATGTACAATAAGCAGTAGCAATTATAATGGTAGCCTTTACTATGGAATTTCTAGTTCGGCATCCCTGCACCCACAACGCTGTATGGTCATTTCCCAAGAAGGTTGCCCTTCTTCCAGGAGGGTCCAGAGTTCTCGAAACTCTGCCTGTGATCTCCTATTTCTGTCCTGGTACTTGTGAAGCCATGTCCAGATGGTTTCAACAGCATTTTTCAGGCAAGTAGGAGTAGTGTGGGGCAGAGAAGAGTCCTCGTGCAGGTTGGGGCCACACCCAGAACTGCTGGACGCCCCTGCGCGCCCCACCCGGGCCAGGAGAGGAGCCTGGTTCCTTTTCCTCAGAATCTGAGTCCTGGCCGTCGGGTCCACGGGTCTAAAGCGCCCAGACCGCCTCCCCCGCTGGCGTAGCCACCTAACGCTCCCAGCGCCGGTTTGCCAGATCCCGTCAGGCCTCTTGGCGCGCTCGCCACGACCTTTGACCAGCCTGAGGACTAGGATTCCCCACTCCGGCCGGGCCCGCGATGACGGCGACGCTGATCCTGGAGCCCGCGGGCCGCTGCTGCTGGGACGAGCCGGTGCGCATCGTCGTGCGCGGCCTGGCGCCCGAGCAGCCCGTCACGCTGCGCGCGTCCCTGCGCGACGAGAAGGGCGCGCTCTTCCGGGCCCACGCGCGCTACCGCGCCGACGCCGCCGGCCAGCTGGACCTGGCGCGCGCGCCCGCGCTGGGCGGCAGCTTCGCGGGGCTCGAGCCCATGGGGCTGCTCTGGGCCCTGGAGCCCGAGAAGCCATTCTGGCGCCTTCTGAAGCGCGACGTGCGGACGCCGTTCGCCGTGGAGCTGGAGGTGCTGGACGGCCACGGGCCCGAGGCCGGGCGGCTGCTGGGCGGGGCGGTGCACGAGCGCGACTTCCTGCCGCCCGGGGTGCGGCGGGAGCCGGTGCGCGCGGGCCGGGTGCGCGCCACGCTCTTCCTGCCGCCAGGTGAGCTGCTGCTGCCCTACTTGTGTCTGGTTTTCTTTGATGCTTCTTGGGTGAGGGTGCCCCTGACCCCTCTCCCTTCCCTCTCTTCCTCAAACTTTCTAAGGAGTCCTTAGAGATCAGTGATCACTGGAAGAGCGCCAGCGACTTTTCCAGTCATGGCGCTGTTCACGTCTAGCTAGATATGAAGGTTAACAGCAGCAGCATTACTGGAAGCTCGTTAGAAAAGCAAGACCCCGTCTCCACTAAAAACAGAAAGAAATTAATTGACCAACTAAAAAATATATGCTTTGCAAATATTTTCTTCCATTCTGGCGCATGCCTGTTGTCCCAGCTACTTGGGAGGCTGAGGCAGCAGGATTGCTTGAGCCCAGGAGTTTGAGGTTGCTGTGAGCTAGGCTGACGCCAGGGCACTCACTCTAGCCTGGGCAACAATGTGAGACTCTGTCTCAAAAAAAAAAAAAAAAAAAAGGCAGAGTGTCAGACCTTGCCTCAGACCTGCTGGATTAAAATCTAAATTTTGGCAAGATCCCCGGGGAGATTTGTGCTACCATTAAAGTTTGAGAACAGCTGCTCTAGAACAATGATTCACCCAAAGTGGACCAGCTGTATTTGGCATCACCGGGGAACTTAGAGATGCAACACTTGGGCCACACTCAGACCTATGCAATCCAAAACGGTGGGGTGGAGGTAGCAATCTGAGTTTTAACCAGCCTTCCGTGGTTAGGTGATTCTGAGGCACACTAAAGTTTGAGAACCACTGTCTAGAAAAAGGAGCTTGAAAACAAAAGTGTGTTCATGGAGATTTGTTCTCATATAATTGGCCAATTGTGCGTGTTCCTTTTAATTGTTCAAGTGCTGACAGAAGGTAACAGTTTAGGCCTGGCTCAGTGGCTCATACCTGTAATCCTAGCAGCACTTTGGGAGGCTGAGGCAGGAGGATTGCTTGAGGCCAGGAGTCGAAGACCAGCCTGAGCAACATAGTGAGACTCCCATCTCTACAAAAAAAAAAAAAAAAATAGAAAAATTAACCAAGTGTGGTGGTACATACCTGTAGTATCAGCTATTTGGGAGGCTGACACTGGAGGATCCCTTGAGCCCATGCAGTGAGATATGATCATGCCACTGCATGCTAGCCTGGGTGACAGAGCAAGACTGTCTTGAAAAAAAAAAAAGTAGCAGTTAAGGGCCAAGAATGATGATGTTTATTTGCTATACAACAAAGCTTTGTTTTGCCAGTTGCAGTGACCCTAATATTGCTCTAGAAAATGGAAAAAAAGTTGCAAAATTGAAAAAGTATTTTTTTCATAAACAGCCTTAAAATAGACACATGTTTAGATAGTAAGAAAAAAATCAACAGTACAAAGGGGCATATAATAAAAAGTCTCTCTGTCATATGAAACCTCTACTTGACCTTCTCAGGGGCAGATGCATTTCCTTCCAATTTTTACTCTTCCATAATCCCATATCCCAGTTAGAACACTTTTATTTTTAAACTTCAGAATTTTCTAGGGATTCTGGAACAGTTAATTAATTCCGTTGTATGATTTTCCACAGTCTTTTTTTTCCCCTTATGCTTTCCTGATTGTAACTTGCAATCAATTAGGTTATTCTTATTCTCACTACTGGATAGACCCACTTCTCTAACCAGAGGTCCTTTTCATGTTGCAATCAGTTCTTGTTTAGTTAACCCATGCCCTGGGTATTCAGTGAGCTCCTGCAAGCTATTGAATTTTAGTTTCCCTTTTAAAAACTGATGAAATTGCCTTTGATGTGACAGTTCTACCTCCAGGAATCTCTCTTGCACAAGTGCAAGTATGCAAGTCTGTTTTGCAGCAGTACTTGTAATCCTAAAAAATTGAAGACAGTCTAAATGTCTGTGAGAGAATGGAATTATGTTATATACACAGTTTCAAATTTGCAACTGTTAAAAATGAGGTAAATCTGTATGTACTCATTCTGGAAGGCTGAGGTGGAGGATCGCTCGAGGTCAGGAGTTCGAAACCAGCCTGAGCAAGAGCAAGACCCCGTCACTACTAAAAATAGAAAAAAATTAATTGGCCAACTAAAAATATATAGAAAAAATTAGCCAGGCATGGTGGTGCATGCCTATAGTCCCAGCTACTAGGGAGGCTGAGGCAGAAGGATTGTTTGAGCCCAGGAGATTGAGGTTGCTGTGAGCTAGACTGACGCCACAGCACTCTAGCCTGGGCAACAGAGTGAGACTCTGTCTCAAAAAAAAACAAAAACAAACAAAAAAAAAACAAATAAATTGTAGTATATTCATCAACACATTATCCATGCTGCAGATGTATTTTTCCCTCATGTAGAAAGAAAAATATAATTACCTGGGTCTTTGTTACTTAAAATTTCACTCTAATTATAGAGATCTGGGAATTTGTGACATGAGTGGATTCATTTTGATGACAATCTTGAGAATCATTAGCCTTGATATAGAATGTCAAGCCATCATTTGAGAATTTGGGGTTCTTTCCCAGATGCTTCCAAGAAGATTAAAGATGGCTTTTGATATTACAATACATGGAAGTCAAGTCAATCAGAATTCTGAGTTGCACACAGACTCTGAGTTACTTAAGTGGGATAATAATTGATTGCAAGGCCATTGGTTTAGGAACACAATTGACCAGAACACTGAGGAGCCAGGATCAGAAAACTGAGAGGATCCAAGGGAGACTGGACAGCAGAAACACCAGCCAAGGTCACAGCACCCATACCACCACTGAACTTCACTAAGCTGGATACTTGGGGCTACAGTGGACTCAATGCCAACACTGCTGCCCTGAGTAAATTCTAAACCATCCTTAGCTCTCTTTATTACTCACTGGGTGTCCAGAATTCCAGGTGGAATGGCCCAGTGGCTGAGTCTACGTCATGAACAGAAAGAGGGAGGATGTCTCCACACTGTCTTCTTTGATGAAAGGTGGAGCTCTGGGTCCCACTAATACAATATATAACAAATCATTCTTTCAAAATAGGAAAGGTTGGAAGCCTTTTGTAGTGCAACATTACAAATTTTTAAAATATAGTAAAGGAGATTTGGATGCTAAGCAATCCCACACCAGCCCCTCAAATAAATGTGTCAGATTCCAAAAATAGTTTGAGGACTAGATCTGTGTTTTATTTCTTTCCAAGAACCTGGGCCCTTTCCTGGGATTGTGGACATTTTTGGACTTGGAGGTGGCCTCCTGGAGTACCGAGCTAGTCTGCTGGCTGGGAAAGGTTTTGCTGTGATGGCTCTGGCTTATTACAACTATGAAGACCTCCCCACGGGCATTGAGAACCTCCACCTGGAGTACTTTGAAGAAGCTGTCAACTACCTGTGCAATCACCCTCAGGTTGGAGTTTCTTTTAGACTTTGGTTTAGACAACAGGTTTCTAAATATTGTTGGTACAAAAGTAATTGCGGTTTTGGACTGGGAATTTTAAATCATTATAACTAGGCTCAAACACATCTTTATCAATCAAAATAGAAACCATTACAATCAACACATTTTTGTCAACGAAAAATAAGTTTGTTTATTCCTGTAGCATAAAAATCCATACTTGGGAATTCTATGAACTCTTGGAAAGCATTTTCTGCATCCTGCTAGTTGTGGAAGCATTTTCCCTGCAAAAAGTTGTCAAGATGCTTGAAGAAGTCGTAGTTGGTTGGTGAGAGGTCAGGTGAATATGGTTGATGAGCAAAACTTCATAGGCCAATCCATTCAATTCTTGAAGCATTGGTTGTGTAACTTGCGGTTAGGCATTGTCATGGAGAAGAATTGGGCCCTTTATGTTGACCAATTCCTAGGTGCATCTCATCAATTTGCTGAGCATACTTCTCAGATGTAATGGTTTTGCTGGGATTCAGAAACTGTAGTTGATCAGACCAGCAGCAGACCACCAGACAGTGACCATGACCATTTTTGGTGCAAGTTTGACTTGAAAGTGCTTTGGAACTTCTTCTCGGTCCAACTACCAAGCTGGTTATTGCTAATTGTTGTATAAAATCCACTTTTCATCACACGTCACAATCCAAGAAATGGTTCGTGAAGACGACACTTCAAAATGATTTTTTAAAAATTTTCAGTCAGCTCATGAGGCACCCACTTATTGAGCTTTTTCACCTTTCCAATTTACTTCAGATACTGAATGACCATAGAATGGTCGATGTTGAGTTCTTTGGCAACTTCTCGTGTAGTCGTAAGAGGATCAGCTTCAATGGTTACTCTCAGTTGGTTGTTGTCCATTTCGGATGGCCAGCCACTGTGCTCTTTGTCTTCAAGGCTCTTATCTCCTTCCAAAACTTCTTAACCACTACTGCACTATATGTTTATTAGCAGTTCCTGTGCCAAATGTGTTGTTGATATTGTGAGTTGTCTCCGCTGCTTTACGATCCATTTTGAACTTGAATAAGAAAATTGCTGGAATTTGCTTTTTGCTTAACATCATTTCCATAGTCTAAAATAAATATAAAATAAACAGCAAGTAATAAATCACTAGCAAAAAACCATAAAGCAAGAAATGCATTTTTTTTTTTTTTTGAGGTAGAGTCTCACATTGTTGCCCAGGCTAGAGTGAGTGCCATGTGTCAGCCTAGCTGCACACACCTCAAATCTTGGGCTCATGCAATCTTCCTGCCTCAGCTCCTGAGTAGCTGGACTACAGGCATGTGCCACATGCCCGGCTAATTTTTTCTATATAAGTTGGCCATAATTCTTTTCTATTTATAGTAGAGATGGGGTCTTGGTCTTGCTCAGGCTGGTTTCGAACTCCTGACCTCGAGCAATCCACCTGCCTCGGCTCCGCAATAGTTTAGTATTACAGGTGAGAGCCACTGCGCCAGGCCAAGAAATGCATATTAAATGATGTATAAGATAGCCACATTTATTTAAGAATGTATTCCAATAACAAATGGCAAATTTCAACAATGTGGAAAACCTCATTACTTTTGCACCAACATAAATATCTCCCTAGCCAAGGTTAGATTAATTTCAACTCAGTTTCTGCGGATGTTCTGTGGTAAAATCAAATATTTAGTCTCTTTCCAAATTCACAGAAGAAAAGAAATATCTCAGCTGGGAAGATATCTCAGAGGGCACAGAGTCAATCAGTCAGCTTGCTATTTGTATCCCAGGTAGGGAAGTGAACATTCTGGTTTGCCCAGGACTGAGAGGTTTCTTGGATACATGTCTTTCTGTACTAAGACCAGGATAGTCCCAGGTAAAACAGGAAGGTTGGTCACCTAGCAGCATCACTGCTTCGTGGCGATGTGAACTTGTCTCCAACCTCCAGGTTTGTGTGAGAGTTAAATGACTAACACTTGTGAAGCTCTTATGGGACCTGACATTTAAAGGTAAACTCATTCATTCATGCAGTAACAGTAGGGGATCTAGGCACAGGAGTACAGAGGTGGGAAGACAAGTTTGTGTCCACGTGAGTTTAGAGTACTGGCTGGGGACAGAGAAGGGAGGGCTAGGTAAACATAAAAATTCAAAATCAAAGTGCTCAGCCTGGGCGACATAGCAAGACCCTGTCTCTTAAAATAAATTTTAAAAATTAGCCAGGCATCGTAGCCCACTAGACTTCCAGGAATTTAGGAGGCTGAGAGGAGAGGATTCTTGAGCACAAGTTTGAGGCTGCAGGGAGCTATGATCCAGCCACTGCACTCCAGCTTGGGCCACAGAGACTAGAAAAAAAAAGAAAGTGATAATAGGAAAATTAACAGAATACTGACTAAGAATAGTGAAAATGAAGTGGATGGGACTAGATATGCATAAGCACCTCATTTAGCAAAGACTGAAATGTTGTCTATTAGTAGTGGACAGTAGTAGCTTATAGTTATCTCAGAGATAATTCTAGCTATTAAAATTTTAAACCTTTTGGTACCTGCTTTATCACTTATGTATTAGAAACAAAGTTTAGGTTATTAAATATGAAATGTCCAATTTGAATAAAAGTTTAGTTTTTTTTATCCAAAAGAAGCAGTACAATTAATCAAATCAATTAGTAAAGTATACAACTAAACAATCAGCACAGTTGTGTTTTTTTTTGGAGACAGAGTCTCACATTGTTGCCCAGGCTAGAGTGAGTGCTGTGCATCAGCTAGCTCACAGCAACCTCAAACTCCTGGGCTCAAGCATCCTTCCTGTCCAGCTCCCGAGTAGCTGGACTACAGGCATGCGCCACCATGCCTGGCTAATTTTTTCTATATAATATTAGTTGGCCAATTAATTTCTTTCTATTTATAGTAGAGACTTGGTCTTGCTCTTGTCAGGCTGTTTTGAACTCCTGACCTCGAGCATCCGCCGCCTTGGCCTCCCAGAGCTCAGATTACCGGCGTGAGCCACCAGCCAGCCATCAGCACAGTTTGCCATCTAACAGTAGCTTGTTATGCCAGCAGCACCAAAGAAGCCTGGAGAGTGAGTGCGATGAAATCACAAAAGGCATTTCTACAGCTTGTTAAGATGAAATATTTTCCTGCAAGAAGTGCCAAAACCTGGAAAGAATGGTGTCAGTTCTGTGCAGTCTGGTGATAAAATGATGACAGAGAATTCGAAGTCCAGCTTTCTAATTTGTGCACATGTCTGTGCGACATGTGTCAAGTAACTCAAGCAGTCGAGCATCATCTTGCAAGAGGACTGACGTGTCTGTTGACCAATCTTGGCTACTTCATCGCAAGCATCCCTCATCATTCTTCCAATTGGTTGCAGTGGACAGTGGCTGTAATCAATTCAGGTTTCATGAAGCTGTAGTGGATAATACTGTGCTGAACCACCAAACAGACACCATTAGTTTTTTTTGAAAATTTTGGTTTTTGACTGTGTTTCAGCCTCTTTTATCCAACCATTGTGCTGAATGTGTGCTATTGAAAAGAAATACATTTTTTCATTACACATACATGGTGTGGAAATGGTTCCTTTATGTCATGACAGCAAAGAAAAGCAAGCTTCGGATAATTTTCCTTTCTAACACTCGTTTAATTCATGCAGTACCATTCTATC